GCAATGAAGTAATAAAATGAACTAGGATCACACTAATCCAGCACGTTATTATTCTGAGTTGCCCCACTCAAGCGGCGGCCATATTGAGTGGGGCACGTGAGATTAATAACGTGCTGGATTAGTGTGATCCTAGTTCATTTTATTACATCATTGCTGTGCTGTATGTGTATAGGCCAATGTAGTTGGATCTGTATGTGCGTTATAATTAATCGAAATGAATCGATGAAAAATGTTTTTGATTATTCGAACACGAAAATTTTAACCAGCCCTAGTATAAATATATATATTATATACGGATAGAAATTGGCTGTCCTGCTGCTGGTCAATTTCTAACCAGCTCTTATTAACACCCCCCCCCCCCCCACGCCTTTGATAGAGAAGGGCTGCTGGCTTAACCAAAACCCCCTTATCCCTTATTGGCCCTTCAAAGCCTGCTGACCATAGTTCAAAGGCAATGCAGTGGATTATAATTTGAAAAAAATTATCCTGTGCAAATCTGCACAAAAATTAATGAGGCCTGCAACTCATGAAGCCACAAGATTCTCCTTGAATTGTAATAGTAAACCTGAACCCCATTATGTTCTCTACTCTCCATGTTCCATGTACCCTTAATTGGTTTATAAAATACTATTTTGCTTTTAAAACCCTGGGTAACATTGAATATTGAACAAGATCACACAAAATATAACTGTTGAACCTTGCATGCAGAAAGTAAAGGATGTACATCTTGTACAGCTGATTTACATCTATGCATTGCAGCAATGCATGTTACTTGCGTTGCCGCATTGCAAAGTCATTCAATTTGAATAGCACACCAACGCACTAAGGCAATATGCATTGTAACTCACTGCATAGTGCATTGTGGTGCATTGAGGCATAAATCTGGAGACGTACGATTTTTGGGACATTTTGTCTCATCACAGACCAATTGAGTTCAATGGGCTACCTGAATGTAATGCATGTTAACAAGTGACATAGTGCCCATTAGAGCTATGTTCACATTATTCCTGGTGTTGTCACTCCTTAGAAATCTGTCTTGTGTCTGTGTAATAAATGGCACAACTTGCGTGTAACTGTCAGTAAGGTGTATAAAAATGTGTTGCAAAATTGCCTCCGACAGAACCTTGTCTTCCATACAATTCATTCCAATGTGTTACAGCCAAAATGCTCGAATGTAAAAGTGTTGCACATAAGGACTACCTTAATGTGACAGGCGTGGGAAATAGCAAGAAAACTGTTGTGTGGCATTCATGAATTTGGTTCAGGATTTACTAATATGGCCTTAACACCATAAAAGCATTGCAAATGCTTTACTGAATCGCCCACAATGTGTAGTGATTGTTGTTTTCCCACACTCGGCCAAAGCCAGTTACCGCAATTGTGGAGATAGGTGTGATGTGCGGTGTGTTGCAGCATGGAAGATGTCAGCAGGGGACACAGCACCGCAAATTCACCTGCCTTACCACTGCCACAGAATTGACACCATCCTACACACCAAAACAGAGTATTTTAGTGTGCAGGCATATGTGAATCAGTCTTAATGCAGGCACAAACTGTCCGCTCCCTTCAGGTCCCTGCACAGCAGTGCATTGTGCTGCACTGTGGTGACCTGCATTTCAATCCAGTGCACTGTGGAGAAACGCAGCATGTGCAACACATAGAAAACAATTGTGACTGGTGTTGTTTAGTTGCTGAAAAACGACAGTCACCACATAGAGTGCGAACGAGCCCTTAAGGGCTAGTGATGAGCCTGGCCCTGAGGCAAACGCAGTTCACCCAAGCCCGCTCAAAACTTACTGCCACCCCTCAACTTCCCCGCCCAATCAGTTGTGGAGAGGAACATTCCCCACAGCTACATGTCACAACAGAGTGGGGAATGTCCCCGCTGCAACTACCGCTACTAATTGGGCTGGAAGGAGGGAGTGGCGGTCACAGCTTTGAGCCGTCTTGTGCAATCTCAGGTAAACTGGGTTCACACCAAGGCCAGGCTCATCTCTGCTAAGGGCTGGTCCACACCATGTCCATTGAGCTGTGTTTTTCTGCACATGTATGTGTGAACAATTGTTTGCTCTGTGCCCTGTTCACATCATACAAGTGTGGTAGCATGCAGCTTAATGAACATGCTCTCACTGATTGTTGTTTATACATCAGATATCATTCTTCAGACCCTTTTATGACCTCAGTGATCAGGTTCATCACAGATGGCGTCATCAAGTCATCCCATTAGTATTCCTCACCTGTGCTCACACAAGGATCAATCTCGGCCTTTACTAGAAATGTAGTTCCTCTCATAAGCCACAGCCAACATTGTGTGACCACCAACATTTTATATAAAAGCAAAAAATGAATAAGAACACCGATATCAAAAAGAAAAACGAATCTTCCTCCATCTAACTAGACTTAAAATTAAAGACACCTGTACAGTTACTACAGGACTTTAGTATAAACATACTCCATAGCAGAACGGCGCCCATACTTGAGTGATTTGTCCTAAAACACAATTATTTTAATACACTTTAATAGCAGAATGGTGCCCATGCTAACTGAAATGTCACTACTCAGGTGAATAGAGGTAAGTCATTTTATTTTATTTTTAATTCTTAAAGTGTATCTAAAGGCAAAGGTTGGTTTAGTTTTGGATAGAGCGATGTTGGTTAACACTCCTGTCAGGTATTTTATGTCGCCTGTGGCCCTTTGTGGAGATTTTCCCCACTTCCTGCACTGCAGGCACAACAGGAAGCCAGAGGAAATCTTTCCAAGATGAGGAAATCCTCTCATAGTGGTCACTGCCTATTGAAACATTCCTGTTGAGAGAACATCCTCACTGTGAAAGGTTAAATGGGGAAATAGAGAGGTGAAATCTCTTAACACCTGACAGGAGTTTTATCATTATATCCAAAATAGGAAAAAAGGAGGTTATAATTCATTCTTCTGGGGGTTAGGATTGCATAGCTTAAAGGGTTAAAAATAGCCAATTTTGTATTTGCTGAAGTGTTTGAGCTACGGAGCCGACATTTTTCCACATGTGCAGTGTCTGTGGAGCCGCACGGGTGATAGCAGTGCGCGTGCAATGTAAGAGCCCCGGGTCAGGTAAGGGCAGTGTGTGCAATGTAACTGCCCCGGGTAGGTAAGGGCATTGTATCTGCCCTGGTCAGGTGGTGGCAGTGTATCTGCCCCAGGTCAGGTGGTGGCTTTGTGTGCGGTGTAACTGCCCCGGGTCGGGTTTGCGGGGAGGAGAGTCGGGCTATTTAAGAAGCGCTCAGGAGGGGGGCACTCCCACTCAAGACTCCGGGTTTTGTAGTGCATGTGTGCGGCTCTGGAACTCTCGCAGTCATGCACAAGGGCTGGAAGAAATACTTCGGCCAGAAGTCTCTCAATGAAGTCACCATGGACGAGTACCTGGGAAGCCTGGGGCTGTACAGGAAACTGACCGCCAAGGACGCGTCCTGTCTCTTCAGAACTGTGTCCGAACAGGTGAGGGACTGTCATATAATATCTTCTGTACATTGATAGCATGAGTATGGATGGCTGCTATCATGTCTTCTCCGGTCACACTATACACACACATCTATGTGTGCTTTTCTCTTTGCAGCGAAGCTTTTTAATTAAATGCTCCATTTCACAAGCCATGTGTAAGCACCACAAATACTACATATGAGCCCTGCCTTCACCCTCTTTCGCTGGTTTGCTAACATCCCACCCCACACTGTGTGGCACCTGACCCCCATACTTCCCTCTATTCTCTAAAACCCACCCTCAATCTCCCCTCAATGCCTGCACACATGCTAACCCATCACCATATCC